TCTGCTGCTGCGGCGGCCCCTGCTGTGGGCAGGTGAGTGGGGGGGCAGAGCCCAGGTGGGGGCCGGGCCGGGCTGACCCTCCTTTCCCCGCAGGGTCCCTGGCTCAGGATGACAGATTCCGGCTGGACGTGCCTGAGTCGGTGACGGTGCAGGAGGGCCTGTGCGTCACTGTGCCCTGCAGGCTCTCCCACCCTGAATCCAGGATGTTCTGGCTCCATCATTTCCATATTCACGGCTCCTGGTACAAGGAAGAGGCTGAGCACGACACACCCGTGGCCACCAACCACCCAGAGAGGACAGTGCAGGAGACTCGGGGCCGATTCCTCCTCTCGGGGATCCCAGGGCCGACTGCTCCCTGGACATCAGAGACGCGCAGAGGGGGGACGCAGGCGCGTACTTCTTCAGGGTGGAGAGAGGGCCTGATGTGCGATACAGTTTCACAGAGAACCTGCTCTCTATGCGTGTGACGGGTAAGGAATGAGGTCGAGAAGGACACAGGGGGGGTCCTGAGGGCCCCAGGGCACAGTAGGGCTGGACCCCTGCTCCTCACTGGAGGGACCCAGGGGAGCAGACCTTGAGCCTGGCTGGTGGACATGGCAGCTCTGCAGCAGAGGGCACTTTTGGGGGCACACTCGGGAGTCCCCACCTTCAGGGCCCAGTCTGCCTTTCTCCCCCCAGATCTGACCCAGACTCCTGACGTCCACATCTGGGGGACCCTTGAGTCTGGCCGGCCCCAGAACATAACCTGTGCAGTGCCCTGGGCCTGTAAGAGGGGGACGCCCCCCACCTTCTCCTGGATCGGGGTGGCCCTCAGCTCTCTGGTCCCCCAGACACCCCTCTCCTCGGTGCTCACCCTCACCCCCGGGCCTCAGCACCACGGCACCAACCTCACCTGTCGCGTGACTCTCCCTGGATCTGGTGTGACCACGGAGAGGACCATCCAGCTCAATGTGTCCTGTGAGTGCTGGGCCAGGACACCCGGGTCCCTGGGGCAGTGGGTGTCGGGGCTTTGGGGGGCAGAGCCTGGGGCACGGGGGCTGGGGTAGAGGTGAAGGGGACCCAGACCCTCACTGCAGGTGTCACCTCTTGTTCCTGTTCCAGATGCTCCGCGGAACCTGACCATCCTCGTCTTCCGGGGCAGTGGCACAGGTGGGGAAGGGCAGGGGTCTCTGCCTCCCAGGCCAGGTGAGGGGACGTGGTCGAGTATGACAGACGAAGCCCCTGACCTGCTGTCCCCGCGCCCATGGCTGGGTGCTCTCCAGGGTCTCTGTGTTCCGAGTTGAGAGGTCACTACCCCCTCTGGCTGCTTCCTCGGCCCCTGACCTCCTCTTCCCCCACTTCCCAGTACCCTTCCTTCCCAGCCCCCACGCCCTCTGTCCATGCCGTCCCAGTCTCCCACGTGGAGCCTGCAGCTGGGCACCGTGCCTCGGCCACCTCTGTATAAGCCCACAGGGACGCTCGTCCACCCTGGTGGTCACGTCCCATCTCTGCCCCAGCGAGCCTCACCAGCTATTCCTGATCACACCTCGATCCCTTGGGAGGCCCCCGGCCCCCACACCTGAGCGACCTGAGTCAATACCCTGGAAGTCTCTGTAGACGTCCCTGGGTCTCACCACACTTCCCATGAGCCGGTGACTTGCAAACGTGATTTCTCGGAAATGTCTCAAATCACTCCCTTCCTCTCCCCCACAACCCTGCCATGACCACAGCCCTGCCTTAGGCCTCAGGCCTCTCCCACCTGGGCCAGGTGACACTTGGACACTCCTCGGCCTCCTAGCTGGCCTTCCAGCCTCCGTCCCTGCCTCTCCCCACCAGCACGCTGGGCCCCGAGGAGATCTCTCCCTAACGCAGACCTGGCTCTGTCCCTGCCCTGCTCTGAGTCCTCCTGTAGCCCTCAGGCGAAAGCCCAAGGCACCCTGTCCTACGACCTGCCAGTGGCCAAGCCACCAGGGTCTCCCATCCTCCTGGGACGTTCCACCACGCCTCGCTCATTCCCATCCACCTGCCCAGGAATGGCTAACGTGCCTCCCACGCCGACCCACGGGTCTTCACCCCAACTCGCCCTCGCAGCACTCGTGTCTGAGGAGGGTGGAGGGAGAACGGGCCTCTGAGCCCTGCCCCTCTGGCTCTCTCGGTCTCTCTAGTCCCAGAGGTCCTGGACAATGCCACCTCACTTCGCGTCCAGGAGGGTGAGTCTCTGCGCCTGGTGTGCCGTGCTGACAGCAGCCCCCCTGCCAGGCTGAGCTGGACTCAGGGAAGTTTAACCGGGAGCCACTCCCCACCCTTGGAACCTGGGGTCCTGGAGCTACCCCAGGTGACTCTGGGAAACGTGAGAGAGTTCACCTGCCAGGCTCAGCACCCGCTGGGCTCACGCCACGTCTCCCTGAGCCTGGCTGTGCAGGGTGAGTGGAAGTGGGACATCTGTGTGTGAGGTGGGCTCAGGCAGGGGGCGGGGGCACTCAGGAGCTCACCCCGCTGTCCCTTCCTCTCCCCAGGCCTCTCCTGCCCCCAGCTCTGTGGGGAGCAGCGGGGCTCCTGGCCTCTGGTCCTCACCCTGCTCAGGGGGGCCCTCATGGGAGCCGGCTTCCTTTTAACCTATGTCCTCACCTGGGCCTACTACGCCAGGTGAGAAGCCCTCCACGGGGTGTCCTAGGTTGGGAACCCCTAAACCCATCCATCCCGACCTCCCCAGAGGAGAGACTCGTCTCTAGCTTCAGAACTGTCCCCCTGCAGGTGCGGAGGCCCCCCGAGGGCACTGGAGCGCACAGTGACGAAGGCCACCTCGCGGTGCTAGGTCTGGGCTGCAGAGCCCGCGGGTGGTAGGAAGCTGTCAGAGACCGAGTCCAGCGCTGCGGCCTGCGGCTCACCCCTGCACGGCGCTGCCCCCATCCGAAAGGACAACTCGACCCCTCCTCTGCTCTCCAGGGCTGCCCCTTGTGGTTCCGAAGGAATAGCTGGGAGGACAGACAGGAAATGGGTAGATCGTTTGTGGTCATGGGGGTGGTTGTTTAACTGCCGGGAGGCGTGTGTGCTCCCCAGAGACAGAGACAGAGACAGAGTGGGAGAAAGCACCCGGTGGGGCGTGGTCTTGCTCCGGTCTCTCCTCCATCTCTCCGTCCTGTCAGGGTTTGGGGCACACACACACGTGCGCCCAGTGTGGTTTTCAAGTCACCAGGACTAGGACTTGCACCACGCGTAGCCATGTGGGATCTGGGTCCCTTAACTACCGGATCATGGGACAGCCCAGGTAGACGGTTTTTCTTACTGATTTGTATTATATTCTTACAATATCTTACTTTTGTGTGCTTATTTTAAATCAGTTTGATAAGCCCACACTCTATATTGTTAAAAATCCCATAATGTGAAGCCAGCAGGTGGCATGGTGGTTAGGGGCACTGGACTTCCACATGGCTAACTGTGGTTCAAGTCCTGGATCTGGCAGCTTGCTTTCTCACTCCTGCCCCCATCTCTGTCTCTCACTGTATCCCTCTCTGGTCAAATTAAATAAATTACTTAAATAAATAAGGTTAAATAAAATAATTCTTTATAAAACAATAAGTGACATAAACCAACAGTTACTTATATTTTTTAACTCCATCATGTTTTCTTTTTTCAAACAATCTTTCAAGAGAATTTTTACTGGAAAAGTAACTTTTTAAAAAGTTTATTTCGTTAGGAGTGACATAGGCATAGACAGAGACAGCACCTCCAACAGGGCATTTTTTTCTTTTTCAAATAATTATTTATTTAATTCCATTCATTATTATTATTTTTTCATTTGACCAGAGAGAGAGAAAGGGAAAGCAAGAAAGCAAGCCACCAGGTCCAGGACTTGAACTGTGGTCGGCCATGTGGGAATCCAGTGCCTTAGCCACCATGCCACCTGCCAGCCCCCAAAAGGGTCTTCATGTCACATTCCACCTCCAGCCTCAGCCAGCTCTGGATCATGGGCATGCGTGCACTTGGCATGCTCAGGAAGGTCACAGGATTTGAATCTGGAATCTTCCCGTGTAGGTCAGCCTTGAAGAGTTTGGTATTACCGCTGAGCCACTGTCTAGTCCTGGAAAAATAAACATTTTATAGTTATTCACTCATTAATTACTTCGCGTGCTCTTCCTTCTGTTGGTACATCCACATCTCTCTATGGGAGTGTTTTCCTTTTGCTCAAAGATCATCTGCATGTTTTACACTGTAGCACCCTGGGATGTCTGTCCCAGCTGCTGTCTGTCTGGAGATGTTTCCCTTTGCACTTGCTTAGAAAGATATTTTTAGTGGAAGTGGAATCACTCTGGATTCTAGGTCAATATTTGCATACCTTAAATTCTTTGTGCTTTAATCATTTCTTTTAAGAATTCTACTGTGATTTTTCTCTTTATTTCTTTATCTGTAGTTTGTCTTTTTCTCTGACTTGTAACATTTGCTCATTGTCACTGGGTTTCAATTATTTGATTATAATATGCCTTTATTGGAGGGGATGAGTGTGTGTGTGTGTGAGAGAGAAAGAAACAGAGAGTGGGTGTGTGAGAGAGATTCTCCTGTTTGAAAGCTTGGAACTGCCAATTTATAGTTCTAATTAAATTGGTAAAAATTGAAGGCTATATTTGTATAAGTAGAGCCTTTCTGTTTCTCCTCTCTCTGAATGCTGGATATTATGTATCTTATCGGGTTGAAAGCTTGACTTTGTCCGATCCTTTAAAGGGCAGTTGGTCTTTTTTCCTGGAGGCAGTTACTTTACTCACATGTTAGATCCCTCTTCTTAAGGCTCTCTAAATTCTAGTCTGTTCTCTAAAAGGTCTAGCATTGACTTTATTCTAGGGCTGAATTAAATGGCATAGTCTTTTTTTTTTTTTCCTGCATGCCTCAGATACTCAAAAAAACCATCTGCAGTCGGGTGGAGGGAAGATGCAAGGTCGCCAACCACGTGTCAGCTCCGGGACTTTTCCGCCTATCAGTAACGTTTTGCTCAGGTAACATGTTTCTCCTTAGTTGTTCTGTCGTATCGTGGAGTTTCTCCACATGCTCACACGATTGGTGTTTTGGCAAAGGGCCCAGGACCGTTTTATGAAGACCTTGAACTCTTTTTCTGTTCCGTCCTCTGCGAGACTCTGATGCAATCTTCTAGCTGTGTTAACTTCCTCCACCTCCCGCACGAGCTCGACAAACCCACTCCCTGGTAAAACTGATGAGATGCGTTTTCACAGGACAACCAGGCTGGCCCCGGGCGCAGCAGTTAGCCTCATGCCTAGGCCACGCGGCCACCTGAGGCAGAGTGCGGGGTGGCCTCGTTCTTGTCCTGACCCACCGTGGTCTGGTGCCGGTGCCCTGCGTGAGTACGGCCAGTAGGAGTTATGTCACGGCCCGGAAGCAAGGGCCAGGCCAGTTCTGCACGTCGGGGACTGCTTTGCTCCTTCTTAAAGGAAACATTAGACAGTCATAGAGTAAGGAAACATGAGGCCCGAGAAGCCAGCAGTCAGATGACAGGCAGGCTTGGGTTTTGATGTAATGAGTTAGCGTTTTATTTTGGAAAACTAATACTTCATACTGAATGTTAAAACACACAAATGGAAAATTATCTGTTGATGATAATGCGTATGCTAATTTTTTGACTGGACTAATATATAGTGTATTAGTGGAAAAATTCATTTTGTATGCTGTAATGATATATAGTGATTCAATGTAAAAATAATGACAAAAATAAAATAAAACACATACACACACGCACACACACACACTCACACGCCGGGGGCCAGCCAGGTGGCCGGGTGGTTAAGCAGCTGGGTCCTACATGACCGCCTACACGGTTCGAGTCCCAAGTCCAGTGGCCTGAGACACATACAGGGTGTGTGTGCCCAAGATCCTGAGAGGAGAATGGAGGGGATGAGACTGTAGCATGCCCATCCCCCCAGGGGTGCTTTCTCAATTTCTCTTTCTTTCTCCCCAGCAAGTGCATGTGCCCTATAGCAAATTTTTAAAAAACTGTTTTCAGGGACCAGCAGTTGGCATAATGGCTATGTCGCTGGACCCCCATGTAGTCAAATGCAATTTGAGTCCCAGACCCCGTGGCTTAAACTTACGCCGGGCACATGTGCGTGCGTGCCCAAGATCCTGAGAGGAGAATGGAGGAGAAGGGATTGCGCCGTGACCATTCCCCCCCGGGGGGAGATTTCTCGCTTTCTGTCTCTCTGTCTCTCTCTGTCTTTCTGGCAAGCGCGCGTGCCCTATAGCAAAAAGCTCTAAAAAAAATTGTTTTCAAAATGAAAACACGGGGCCAGCAGTTAGCGTAATGGCTATGTCGCTGGACTCCCACGTAGTCAACCGGGACCCGGTGGCTTAAAACTCACGCCAGGCACGTGTGCGTGCGTGCCCAAGATCCCGAAAGGATGGAGGAGAAGGGATTGTGGTGTGACCATCCCCCCTGGGGGGTGATTTCTCGCCTTCTGTTTCTATATCTCTCTCTGTCTGGTGAGCGCACGCGCCCTATAGCGAAAACCTCTCCAAAAAGAAAAAAAAAAGAAAACACACACACACACACGCGTGACTAGAAGTTACTTCTCATCATGGAAGACCGCACTTGCCAGCGTTTTCCTCCCTAGGAATGAGCCTGAACGCAAGTCCACCCTGCAGTAAACTTCGCTCGCCGTCGGGCCTCGTGCTACACTGACCCGCGAGAAGGGGTGGGTGAGGCCGGCCGGCACTCCTGCGCTAGTACGTGACTGCGGCCCGGAGGCCATCCCGGGAGCATAGCTCCTTCCACGGACGTCGCACGCGTGGTGTGCCTGGCGAAGTCACTGGCAGTCACGCTGTGCAGAGTGGAAAGCCATCCAAGTGCCTTAGGCTGGGGGCAGGCGGGTTTGGCGAGGACGTGGGTGGCCACGGTGACTTGGCTTTTGCCCGAGGTTGAGGTCTGCCTGGCGGAGCCTCGGTTCTGCTGGGGTGCGGTGGAAGAACGCTCGCGATGTGGAGGTGCATCGTTCGGCAGAGCAGTGTTTGCACACGTCTCGAGCCTGAGGCGTGTTTTCCGAGGGGCTCACTTCTCCAGCATGATGGGCCTGGGGCTCCCCGGGGTGAGTCTGTGCTAGTGGGATGGGGTGCCCCTGGGGACATCGTTCTGGACTGTGAGGAGGTCAGATTCTGGACCCAAAGGACACAGAGGTATTGGCCAGGGATGTCCCAGTCCCTCTTCATCCAACCAAGTCCCCTCAGTCCGCTCAGGGTCTCAGTTCCATGCAGACCCGGACTTGGCCTTCCACGAGGACCTCTTTCTGCACCTCCCTCACCCGCCCGCCCTCCTGTCTCTCCTCGGGCCCACAGCCTGCAGCGCTCCCTCCCCAGGGCAGAGTCCCGGGCTCACCGCAGCCCTGACCCCCAATGTCTTTTTCCTCTGCCCCACAGCGCCCGGC